GCCACGCCTGGGGCTTTTGACGTCAGTCTGAACATGATCTCTTTTATCGCACTTAGAACAGTGAGTCTGTGTGTCTGAGTGACTAAAACACAATGAACGACAAATACTTGTTTTCCTCCACATTTTGTCTGATCTTAAAAATTGACATCACTATTGAACCATTAAGTGTTGAACCTTTTGCCCACAGTGTGTGTGATTGATTGAGGCCAACAAATGTCAGTGTGAAACAAACATTTTACGGCCATGATTATGACACAGCGTTGCAACCATATACAAAGCTGAACTTAATTGAAGGTCAGTGGCTTTTGAATGTCAATGTGCCTGATTTGAAGGATATTGTGTGGTGTTGCAGGTGTTGCAGTTACAAGTTAAATGTGAGAGCTCCCCCTACTGATGAGATGTGAAAATACACTTAAAAACAATATAAAATCAGCTGCTGTCATTGAGCTTGAATCAGACCACCTTCATTTAATTTAATTTCAAACCTTTATTTAACCAGATTGGTCCCTTGAGATCATATATCTCTTTTTCAAGGGAGACCTGCAGCAAATAGGTTCCACATGAAACATAAAACAAACATAAAACAATAAAGGACATCATACATTATATTTACAGGCTACATTTACATAGTTATCGACATTTACAAGTACCCATAGTATCAACGAGCATTTCACTTAGCCTAGCTTTAAAAATATGCAGAGGAATGAAATTGCTCAGTTTCAATTCTTGCTGAAGATTGTTCCAAGCAAGTGGAGCTGCGCACATAAAAGCTGTCTTACCTAAGACAGTCCTTGCTCTTGGCACATCTAACAATACTACATCATGCGATCTCAGACAATAGCTGCTTGCAACTCTCTGTGTTATCAGAGAGCAGATATAATATGGGAGTTTACCCAACAAAGCTTTATAAATAAACGTGTACCAATGACTGAGCCTCTTTACAGTAAGTGATGGCAAACCTGCCTTGGTATACAGGGTACAGTGATGTGTAAGTGCTTTACAATTAGTGACAAATCTCAGGGCACTGTGTCATCTAACTTGTTCAGGCAATGGGCAGGTGCATTCATATATATCAAATCACCATAGTCCAGCACAGGTAAAAAGGTCACAGTGACTAGCCTTTTCTGGCTTCAAAAGAGGAACAGGACTTGTTTCTGAAAAAGAAACCTAGTCTAACCCTCAGCTTTATAAGCAGGTTATTGACCTGAAGTTTAAAAGTGAGACAATCATCAAGCCAGATACCCATTTGTAACAGGCAACCACTTAAAAAACCACTTACCAAGTATTATTCCTTGCGCAGTTACAACATCCAAAGCAGTCTCTGGTGTCTTTTTAGCTTTAGAAAAGAGCATTACCTTGGTTTTATCAATATTTAAAAGAAGCTTTAGTTCAGAGAGCTGAGTCTGAATAATGTTAAAAACAGCCTGCAATTTAACACCAGCCTCCTTAATGGAGGGACCTGCACAGTACATCACGGTATCATCCGCATAAAAATGTAAGGTTGCTCCATTGACATTTTCACCTAAACTGTTGATATAGAAGAAGAATAAAAGTGGACCTAAAACAGAACCTTGAGGAACACCATTTGCAATGTTCAACCACTCAGAAGTGAGCCAATCAAAATGAACACATTGTGACCTTTCAGAGAGGTAGTTCACAAACCACCCCACTGCATGGCTGGATATGCCAATACTGAGTAGCCTCTGCTTTAAGATGCGATGATCGACGGTATCAAACGCTTTGGAAAGGTCAATAAATAGAGCTGCACAACTCTGCTTATTATCTAAAATACTCGTAATATCATTCACCACTTTCATTGTCGCAGTGATGGTGCTATGTTGTTTTCTGAAGCCTGACTGATGTTTAGACAGGATGTCATTTGTACACAAAAACTCCTTTACCTGTTCACTCACTAGACGTTCAAGAGCCTTAGCCAGAACTGACAATTTAGAGATGGGTCTATAGTTATTTAAAATAGTTGCCTCCCCTCCTTTTAGTAAAGGCAAGACATAAGCTGACTTCCATATTTTTGGAATTGTGTTTGAGCTGAGGGAGAGGTTAACAAGAGTAGTGAGAGGTGGAGCAATAAAATCTGCAGCTATCTTTAAAAAGAAAGGTTCTACGTTGTCCGAGCCAGCCGGTTTCTTAGGATCTAACTTGGATAAGGCTTCATGAACAACATCAATAGTAAATTGAACAACACCTGTGTTTTGGATTGAAAAAAAAGCTGAGAATAATCACCGACATGCTCACAACACATTGAACACTCTCCTAATGGCTGTCAGTCAGGTGATAGTGTCTATGCTCTGAGGCCTGCTGTTGGTGAATTGGAGGGTGGTGGAGGAGGGGCCGGATGGAGGGAGTGCAGGTTAAGGGAAGGAGGGAGGGGGGGGGGGGGGGGGGGTAGTCTGGGTTGCCATGAAAACCATTGTATTTCCCTCCCTGTGATTGGAGCTGCTGGCATGAGCAAGTATCTGCTATTTTTATCATTATTCAACACCTTAGACACGAGCGCAGTCACAGGACAAACACACACACACACACACACACACACACACACACATACATAAACAGAACCAGAAGAGTGGAGCATTTGCAAACAAAGACTCCTCTATATTGCATTTCCTTATTTAAATCCCCATACTAGTATTTTATATCATCACACCTTGTACTCTCAGGGCATTTGGTTTATAATCATTCGCCTAATAAAACAAATTTCAGGGGGAAATGCATATCTCATAAGGCCTTCTTCCTACAGATCATATGGGCGACTGCAGCCTCACAGCAGCAGCACAGACTTATCATCACACTGCCCCTGCTGCACAACCCACCCGAAAGACAACAACAGCAGGTTCATTTCGGGTAACCTTTGTTGAACAGCACTCTAATCAATAACAGAAAATGTGTCCAAATTAGCAATTGATTTATCAGAAACAACAAGCGATGACTCGTAAACTAATCAGCATTTTTATGGAGCTGCACTTCCACTGATGTATGAATCCCTGAGGAAATACACTTTATGAAAGAGAGATGTCACATACTGATGTGTAGGACAGTTCCTTCATGCAAATCCTGAGGGAGGATAGGCAATCTTCAGAGTATCCATCGAGACTAGGAAACCTAAAAATAAAGCCCATGCACTGTAGGCTGGATAACAGGGGATATACACAGAGCGTAAAATACAGTAACATGAAACAATGATTAGAGTTGACAGATACAACAGCCACCTCCATACATCAAAAGGTTACTTCTTGTGTCCAAAGCACATTGTTATTAAATCATCTTATTTGGCACCATTACTAAAAAGTAGGATCCTCAGAGAAAACAACAGAGGACATGAGCCAGAGGCAGCAACAGTCAGCCAGCCTGCTTACAACAGTTTAATCCCAAAATAAGATAATCAATCTAACAAGATAACCATAAACATGAAAACATTTAAATGTAAAACATTGATCTACTGTCAAAGCTGTTACCCTAAATCCCTTATTTTTTTCTAACAGTGGGGCTAGTACCAACTCAAACATGATTACAAATTTGATATTTTTTGTCTGATATTATTGTTGTTGCCAAACAACAGGTTTCGCACTGTAAGTAGTTGTAATTAGCTCTGCAGCTTAAGCATACTCATTTTAATTTTGCAGGAATTCTTGTTCAATTGGGTTGTTGTAATACTATAGTATTTATTTACTTTGCACCATATGTGAATGTATTGACGTATGATGCACTTTTTGATTGAAATTAATCATACTTTCCATTGAATATCTAACATGTAACTGCAACTTGTATTTCTGTAAAGGATTTTTATTTATTTTTTATTGATCTTTGAGTCTAAAAAATATTCCAAGAACATGGTGACATTCAATCTTGTTTTGTCTGACTAACAGTCCACAACTCAATGTATTCTTATACATTTTCTGTCATTCAACAAATCAGTTAATCAACTGAATGCTTCAGCTGTCTTTAGGCATTTAAAAAGAAAAAAATGCTGTTGGTTGTATGACCTTACATTTGTTATTTCTCATTTGCCGGTAGTTTTACCTGAAGTCATAATAACAAACTGAATACACACATGTGAATATTTCTTTCCTTTTTTTTAAATCCCCTAAGGGAGTTAGGATATTGTTGAGATTAACATGTGAATTGCACAATCCGTTGAATCCCACTCACACTGGTAAACAGAGTCATTCCCTCAGGGCAGAAAATAGTTCTTCACTGTGTGTAATATGTATGTTGTGTGGGCCGGGCTTTTGTAAATGTTAATCTCAGCTCATTAACATTAACAACTGGGATTCTTTTCCTCTCTGCTAATCAATAATCCAGCCTCGTGAGAGAGCTTTTGCCGGATTGTGTTTGTAGGGAGATCTTGGTGAGCTGTGCGTAAGGAGACACAGAATCAGAGAAATGCTGGGAAAGGTGATTTTCTCCCCTTATTGTTGGCAACATCTGCGCCTGTTGGTGGAACCTGATGTGACCTGTGGGGAGATTAGCTGAAGGAAGCCCAGACTCAGTGAGGCACTAAGACCCAGTGGAGAGCAGGGAGGCTGGGTGCTGCCTGCCCACCCGCCGCCTGCCTGTCTGCTCTGCACGGCTCTGCAGTTGCCCTGGGCGCGTGCCGGAGACAGTATAAGTGTGTGTGTGAAAGTGTGTGTGTTTGTGTCCACACTTTGTGCATCACGGGCTGGAAGACAGGAGCCTTCTCTTCTTTGTTTTAGTACCATCTGTCCCTCTAACCTGAAACGCAGGCCTGGCTAGAGGAAAGCAGTGGTGTGTGTGTGTGTGTGTGTGTGTGTGTGTGTGTGTGTGTGTGTGGTGTGTGTGTGTGTGTGTGTGTGTGTGTGTGTGTGTTGTGTGTGTGTGTGTGTGTGTGTGTGTGTGTGTGTGTGTGTGTGTGTGTGTGTGTGTGTGTGTGTGTGTGTGTGTGTGTGTGTGTGTGTGTGTGTGTTGTGTGTGTGAAGAGATGGGGAGGGGGCGGTCAGCTGGGTTGGGTGGGAGGTGATGACGAGATGAAAGGGGCCAGGTGAGGAGGAGACACAGGAGCGTCTCTCTCTCTCTCAGTCTCTCTCTCTCTGTGTCTGTGACGTGGTGTGTGTGTGTGATGGAGAGAAAGCGAAACAGGTCGACTCTCCTTCAGTAGACTGTTAACCTGCACAGGAGGAAGCAGCCCTCTTCAGACTGAGGTATGTCATCACCTACCCTGTTAGCAGAGTGAGTGTGTGTGTTTAATGTATTGAAGTTAGGATGTTGGAAAGGTGGGTCAAGAGTAAAATCTGACTCAAGAGCATACTAGAGGTATTGTTTTATTTCATCACACAATCCAATATATTTGTGTATCCATGTTAAGGACTTAGGATTTATGGCAATGATACATTTTTATTTAAACTCCATTGGCAACATTCTGCAGAGGACTGAAAGGGACACTAAAACAACAGGCTAGTTAACTGCTCGCAGACATACTGTGTCATGTGCATATTATTGGGTCATATGGTTTCCAGTGGGCCGCCTGAGAGATTCTGCGGAAACCTTGAATTCTAGCTTTGTGCGAGTTTGTTTGGAGGCAGAGTTTGACCCTTAATTGTACTTCCCTCATTGATTCGATTACATTAAATAGGAGGATGTGCTGCATGCGAGGCATTAAGTAATTCCTCGTATTTTTTAAATAGCGGTGTGGTTTGAACTTCTTAAAATGATCTCTGAACAGGTTACAGCCACATTTTTGTGCAATTCAAGGGATTTTGAATTGAATTTGGTTTCATGTGATAAAAGACCTTTTGATGGACAAAAACATTTCACGTCCCAGTGTTGTTGTGTTAATTTTCCTTTGCATCAAGAATTTCAATATTGGTGCTCCTCAGGGCCCCAAAGTGACCCCGGACACCAGAGAGCAATAAAACAATCGATGCTGATTAGACTTGAGGGCTGCTTCAAAGTTGTTGCTAGATCATAGCTGAATGTTGTTTATTGGTTATTTTAATGGGCTGAAGGTGACTCTGACCCTTTGACCTATTCAGCAAAGGCCACTTACATACGCCTACGTCTGCCAGCTGATTGCTGTGTTCGATGTGCGTACGCGGGCAGGAAAACAACAAGCGCCTCGCAGGGATGAATCCTGTCACACTTATGAAATGGAAAACTTGCACATGCAGGTGTGCAGCACATGGAAATGTACCAAAGCCCTAGTGCCCATTCCACGGCTTTTACAGTGTGTGGGGTTGTGTCCAGGTGAGGTTATGACAGTAAACACAGCACAGAGCCTCTACATGACTACTACACGGGCCACAAAACAAATTCACTGCTGAGGCTGCTCTGCCACCATTTACATGGATTTTACTTCACAATTAAATGTAGCTACTAGCGTTTTAATCAGAAGTGTATTCAGTCTTTCAAACTCTATATGGCATACATAAGAAATTTAGAAGAAGCTTAACATTTTATATTTCCCATGTCATGATTGTAGTTATAAAAAAAGTATTTATCGATGTCTCCCATCACTTCAGACAGCAGGCAGCTCTGTAATGCTGAGTTTCACAGTGTATTCACTCATCCAGTTTGCTCTAGACTCCGTTAAGGTCGGACATATGGTCCACTCGGCGCTTTTAAATTCCCCCTGAGGCACCGGCTGCTCTGAAAACACACATCTGAGGATGCAGATGTCAAATATGTAGTAAATTATGATGTGCAGACTGCATCTGTGTCTTGTGGCTTCACAGCAATATAGCAACATCACTACCAGGATCACAGTAAAATAAAATAAATTATAGTTTTACAAAAGAATGCATTTAAATTCAATTTTATAGAAGTGAGACATTCTTAGATTGCTTTAGGATTCATCTAAGCCTCCTTTGATTTGTCTCTTAATCGGTGGCTCAACTAAAGTCATGTGAGTATTTGCATTAACAGATTAGTTTGATGGTTTATAGAGATTTTCTCCCCTCAATTTCATTATGTATTTGTAGTCTGGGTAAAGAGTTATTTAGGTTTTCCAATTCTATGAAGTTGTCATATTTTGTGAGTATCACCTCCATATTTATGCTTTGGGGAAATCAGTGACTCAGTTTTCAAACTAGTATATCTTTAGTAATGGGTTTTTTTCATGGACCCACCATGAGCATGTTGTGAAAACTATCACAGGTTCTTCCCTTACACTTCTTCTAAAAATAACTTTCTCTTTTGTTTCAGATCTCTCAGTGTGAAGGTCAAGTTGGAGAAAGAAGGGCAACTTCACTAAGAGTAATCAGGAAATAAGTGAAAACTGAGAGCGTCTGCAAAGCTCCAGGCTGAAGTCTCCGGCGCTCAGGTCTACAGCTCCAGCTGCCATGACAGACACCCCCGCTTGAGCTTCTCAGTGACACCCTATGACGGGGGAGGATGGGTGATGGGCCCGTGAAATTCAGCGGACTCTTTCCTCCTTATCCCATCCTCTCATGGAGCACCCTGTCACACCGAGCCCCTCCTGGAACCATTCTCTCTCGGGCCTCCCCATACTTCCAGCCTCTCTGCACCCAAATATCTCTAACGTGACCTCGCCGGCCACAAGCCTCTCAGGGGGGCTCGATCTGAACCGGTCCTTGGCGCTGTGTGCCATGCTCATCATCGATGTACTGGCGGTGGTGGGGAACTTGGCTGTGATGATTGTGATCACTAAAACGCCGCAGCTACGCAAGTTTTCCTTTGTGTTCCACCTGTGTCTGGTGGACCTGCTGGCAGCGCTGGTGTTGATGCCTCTGGGGATGCTGTCAGACCGAATCCTTGCGGACGAGGCGCTGTGTCGGAGCTACCTCTGCCTGAGTGTGTGTCTAGTGAGTGCTGCCATCCTCACCATCTGTGCCATCAACGTGGAGCGCTACTACTACATCGTCCACCCCATGCGTCATGAGGTGAAGATGACACTGGGGCTGGTGGTGACAGTGTTAGTGCTAATCTGGATTAAAGCCATTGTTATGTCGGTGCTGCCTCTCGTTGGATGGCTGCTTCAGGGGAACCAGGGTGTGGGGACTCCTTCGACCCTCATTCAGGGTCAGAGACACTGCTCACTTCACTGGACGGGAGTCAGACACACGCGGCTACTTTTCATGGTCTTCTTTACGTTCATCTATTTTCTTTGCCCTATGCTGATCATCCTGGTGGTCTACTGCAACATGTTCAAGGTGGCGAGGGTAGCAGCCATGCAGCACGGCCCCCTGCCCACTTGGATGGACACGCCCAGACAACGCTCCGAGTCAATCAGCAGCCACTCCACCATGGCAGCCAGCCTCGGTGGAACTGGCGCCCGCACCACCCCACAGAGGACCTTCAGCGGTGGGAAGGCTGCGGTGGTTTTGGTGGCAGTGGGTGGCCAGTTCCTCTGCTGCTGGCTGCCATATTTCTACTTCCATCTCTACACGGCGGTGGTCTCTACCTCTCCCTCCTCACTGGCCCAGCTGGAGGATGTTGTCACATGGATAGGCTATTTTTGCTTCACCTCCAACCCCTTCTTCTACGGCTTCCTGAACCGTCAAATTCGCGAGGAGCTGGGCCGCCACCTGGCCTGCCTCTTCAAGCGGGCCGGGCCAAGCGAAGGGGAGCAGCTGCCCAGCCGCGAGGCCTCCATCGAGGAGAACTTTTTGCAGTTCCTTCAGGGCACTGGATGCAATCTGGAGCCCTGCAACTCACACATCAGAGGCAACCAAGAGGATCCAGAGACTGAGGGCCTTCAGGAATCAGCTGTTCAGCAGAACACGCCAGCTGACTTCCACATCCCAGGGCAGATCCTTGAAGAAACCTCAGAGTTCATACAGCGACAACAGCTGAACAATGAGCTACATGTATCAGAGAACTGCTACAAAACTGTGCCCGAGCTGTAGCTGCCTCTCATGTACCGTCTCTTTTGCCATCTATAATCCATTAAATATATTTAGTTTTATTCTTATTTTCTAAAATGTGTTAAGTTAATACATATTTTGTTCATGCTACAACAGTGCTTTTAAGCTAACAACCAAGTGAACTGCAAAACACGTTGTCTTTTTCAAAATAATTTAAGTTGTGTCGAGATTTCGGAGAAAGACGAAGACGAATATGTTTCATCTTGCTCGTATCATGGAGCATTACATGTTTTCAGAGCCATACAGTGTCAGACTGTTTTCAATGTGATGTTAGCTGATGGACACTAAACTATTGTGATAATCACGGGTCAGTGGTGTGACAAACATCACATAAAAAAAGAATTGTTGAAACTCTGTGAGTGCAAAACTTCAGGGGAAACACCAATGTTCACACTTGGGAAACTCTTAGAGCCATTTAATGACATTTTAAGTGAAAAAGTGAAATGTGACTTTTGATATGCATTCCTTAATTTATTCCTCATTTAAGTGAGGTTAAAAAATGTTAAGTGTGAAATAAGTCATAAAACATCACTGCGATTACATCAAAAATGCTCTACTTCCATTTTCATGTTCTTCTTGTTTTACTTACTTACCAAGACTTGAAAAAGCCCCTTGACAATCCGTTCACATTCGCTCAGCGAGACAGCAATTCCCTATGAACAAACAGATGTTTTATTATTCATATAAGTAATTATCTAACAATAAAACCCACTTTGCTTCACCTATATATAGAAACTAGTTAATCTCAAACATATTTTTGAGTCTGTTGAAAGAAAAACCATGAGAAAAGAGGAGGAGGGAAAAGTACATATTGTGAGTTATTGTAGCTGTCGTGCCTGGTTTGTTGAGGATATGTTTATAAGTGTTTTTATTTCACTTGCTCGTCATAACACCAAGGACTTCATGTAAAAATTTAGTTGTTTTCCCAGTAGAAATGCATGAATATTCAGAACCATTTTTAAAATGGTCTATTCCTTTGAAATATTCATTGTGTTAAACAGGATCATTTCACAGCTGGTGCTGCTGGTGTTATTTATAATAAACAGGCTGACACACTAGCGTATTATTAAGCATTTTCCAGGAACATCATTATCATGTTTATCTGTTTGCAGTCTTGTGATCACCTCCTCACCAAAATCCTCTCACATTGGTACACTCGTGATTTCACCCTCCTCCACTCAAAGAAAAACATTGTGACTGCTTTAATTTGTATGACACTAATGGTGTTAGGATTGAAGCTTTGCAAAAACATTGTCAAACCACAGTTGAACTGTAAGGAAAAAAGAAAAAAAAGAAGCAGGTTGTGGACTATTTTGAACATCGTGAACCCCCCTCATCCCCCCCCCCCCCCCGATGTCTGTGCTGTTTACAGGTAAACAAGTGAGCAGTGTGAGTGCGCCTGTGTTTGTGCTCTAAACAACCATGCTTGTTGTGGCTACACAGCACACAGGTGAGACGGTGCTTACACATGGCAAGCTTTGCCTTTGGCCTCATACAGCAACAAATGGAAGACTGTGGTGACTTTCTCTGATCTCAGGTGGAATATAAACAGTTTGCACAAGTCACACGAGCAGTGACAAATCTTCCAAAGAAATTACACGGCACAAATCTTTTACTAAACACTTTCTTGTCTCTTTTTATACTTGCTCTTTTTTGCTGCCTTTATCTATTTTGGGCTGCCTCATACCGGACTGTTGGCATGATCATAAGACATACAGGAGGTTCATATTTAGCTGGGAGTCAGAACAAAAAAAGGCCCCTTTGTCAGGAGGAGACATAATGTTCTTCATATTCCTGCAATATGACACTGTTGCACACTGTTTTTCAGATAGGGTCATCATGTCATCTTGTTTCAAAACGTTTCCTTTGTGTGCAGTAATGTGAGGCCCTAGAAAATAGTGAGCTCAAGACGCAATCACTGCCATAATTCTAAATGTTCAAAAGTGTGTGTGTAAATAAATAAACATACCATTTTATGCAACAAAATTACATAGAACTACCTCGATTGATTCCACGAGGGTACAGGAACAAGAGTCTTATCTCTTCAGATTATCTTACTCATTGAACATTATTAATCATCTCCTCTTTATCGTACAATGTTGTAATAAATTGGGTGATATTTCTCATAGTCTGGGGTCATTACAAAGCTCCTTATGTTGATTGAATCCACCACATTCAATCAGCTGGATTTCCGTTACCGTAGCAGCAAAATTGCCCCGACCAATCTGATTAAATGCTTTAAGCTCTATTTCTGCTACCATCTGTTGATTATGAGGACATGGAAATAAGCTGCTCTGAAGGTGAATGTCAGATAATATTCCCAGCTTCAGGAATATTCACTGACATTAGTCAGAAACTGTTTTGTTCATCGTAAATAATTAATGTGTCTTTTGTACCGGAGCTGAAAAGACTGTGATTCATTATCATTACAGTCTGTTTCCCCTGTGTTTTGGTTACCTATCAGTTGAAATGATACAAGAAAACAGCACAAGTTTAAGTTGCTGTGGTAGTTACAAGAAATGTTTTGACGAATAATCACATCTGCCACACGATCAATCATGTCAATCACCTTTTTCTGTTCCACGCTCTAGCTGCCTGCATCTGTGGATGTGTGTGTGTGTGTGTGTGTGTGTGGGGGGGGGGGGGGGGTGTTGCAGGAAGGGGGAGCAGTGTCACAGAGGTGAAATGAAGTACTAAGAACAGGATGAAAGAGGAGTGACATTTAGAGGTAGGCAGGAAGCTATAGCTCAGCAGTGAGGGGGACATTAACTTACTTGTCATGAACCAACACACACAAACACACTGACCACTTTATCCCACAATTTCAGGTCCTATATTATGTGATGTACACCCCAACTTGTGCACTAAATGCTTAAACATAGGGGACGTCACCATTTTCAATAGGTGCAATAATTGGTGAATCATTACTGATTTATACTAATCTTACATCTAGTGAATAAGGCAGATTCAGAGTTTGAGGTAATATGAAAGGATACAAGATGATTGATTATTAAGTTGATGTTACAAATTAATGCAGGATACATATCGGTGTCAGCCTGTCGTTTTTGTAACTTTTCAGTAGAAAGACCCAAAGACAGATTCCACCGTGCTCTTCTGTTCTGATGATCCTAATTTCCTCTCCCTCTCCTCTGCTGCTCCCCATCGGACAGAGTGACTCATAGCTTTTATGTCGAGCAGTGGAGGGCGCCCCCACAGCGCAGGGAAACAGCCTGACCTTTGTGATGGGCCACAACACGTCCGCTACCACCATCATGTCCCCCTCGGGGCCCCTGGGTGCACAGCGCATTCATTTAGAGGATGAGTCTGGTGTCTTGTATAAAATATCACTAATATATTTTGTAATATACAATTTACTTAAGGTAGATAATTGAGACCACTCATTGGATCAGAGCTGAATTTAATTGAATCACATTGATGTCTTACTTAAGTCTAAATCCTGACATATCTTGGTTTGTTTGGCTGGAAAAGACTGGAGCAGAGATAAAGAGTAATTTTTGTATTTAAATATAAAATAATAAAAATGATGATATACGGTTTCAACAGTGAGGTCTGGGGACTTAAGGGGAATTCAATTATTTTTTTAGTCCACATGTGTTTGTTATGAATATTTGTATTGAACATGTCCAATGTTTAACTGCTGAATTGTCAATAAAATATGAATTTATAATAGAGTGTTTTAGACTTTAATTAACCAAAAGTAGGTGTGTGCTGCTCGTCCGTAGTCTGTAGTCATACAATGCTGCATTGATTTGAGTGACTAGGTTAAATAACATGGGAGCTACATGTATGGATAAAACTGAAATTATCTTCTAAAAAACGAATTTGTAAACTCAATACTACACATCTATTATTTAAAAATGAGTGCCACAAAAAACACATTAGTTTTTTTGCATCACTTTTAATCATTTGGGCGAGTTAGCCACAGTGGTATTGAAACTCACATTAGTTTTGTGTCATGCTAACAGTAATTTATTGACGCTCTCTAAGTGAAACCCTGCAGTTAGGAGTGAGGGCTGGATATGAGCTAACCGTCCTGACTGCAGACTTTAAAACTGAGTAAGAACACTTGGTATGCTACCCCTTTTAACTTGCAGAAGATTTCCCAGTCTAACATGTAAACACCAGTGAGCTTCTCTCTTAGTATGGGATATCACATATAGTCCAATAGCCTTTTGTTGACAAAAAAAGTGCTTTATAAATTAACAAAAATGTGATCCTGACCTCATAACCGGAGAAGTCTGTCGATGGTGTCTGTTGTGGTTTAACAATGCATCTACACCTGTAATCCACTGTACATCCACTGGGGGCTCTCTCACACCACACAAAACTTCTGCTCCACTCCTCTGGCTGTAAATGAGTGTGAAGTGTGAACTGTCATGAAAAAACCTGCAGGTGTGTCATCATCAGCTTGTTTTAAATAACACAATACCTCCTTCACGGAGGCATGTTAGAAACATTTCGATTTGTTTCGAGGTTTGATCAATATTTAAGCGACACAGGGTGAATTCACATACTGGCAGTTGAGAAGCGACTACATTTCCCATCAGCCACTTGGGGCGCATCAATGTTCCTTTTTTCAGTGCTGTTTCTTTTAGTCAGCAACTGGAACAGCTGGATCAACGCGCGACTGCGCAGCAGCACCAGATTTTGAGGGGAACAGTAGAGATTTTTAGTTAAAATCGGTGGATTATATGTTTCGTTTTTCCTACACATTCATTTTTTAAGTGTTTTTGCTTTCTTATGATCTAATTTCTATTTTCTTCCGTGAGTTCTAACTTTGGATACAAATATTTTAAAACATCTATTTGGTGAGTTTTTCCGCCTAAACCCGGGTATTTGCTCCCTGTCCAGAGTGTGTGTGGCAGTGTGAGCTCAGCAGCATCAGACGGTTAGTTTAGCTGAAGAGCCTCCGGTGCCAACGCCTCTTTTCCCCCTCTGCACTTCTGCTGCCCTGCTGGGAAACTTCAGCTCGCACCGACCAGAGGGCTCGTTTCAAGGCGTCTCCCTTCAACTCATGAGCGGCTAAAGCACAATCCAACGCTAAAGAAGTTTTGTGAGAGTGAACATGGGCTGCACGATCAGCGCCGAGGACAAAGCTGCGGTGGAGAGGAGTAAAATGATTGATAAAAATCTGCGGGACGACAGAGAGAAGTCAGCCAAAGAAGTGAAGCTGCTTCTGCTCGGTATGAACTGTGTTATTGTATAAATGCATGAAATCTGTTTAATAACTTTTCATTGTCACTTGTGTAATGCAGTGTTCAGTTTATGACTGCAAACACTCCTCCTCCTTCTGTTGGTTTAATGCAGCTGTGTCTCATCATGCCTCCACTGAAAGAACTTGTAGAAGTAAACCAGATGTTTGTGGAGAGGAAAACTACACGTCCTCAGCTGCCTCAGAAATGTTTTTGATCGATCACTTGAATCACTTGAGTGCACTATTTGTTTGCAAGCAAACTTTAACTGCAGCTGCAGGTAAATGCTGACCTGGAGATAAAGCTTGAACACTAAAGAATGGGAGCAAAAGCTTGTGTTTGTGTTATACTTGCCAGTATGAATATCAATTGATGTGGTTGTTTTGAATTGAAATAGTTTGATTTGGAAATTGTTAAAGCTAATAATACACAAATATTTCTCAGCTTTTTCCATAAACCACTTCTAAAATAGCCTGAGCCTCCCTATGATCACATGTTCAAGGTGAGGAGTATCCAACAGATAACCGACATGCTTTGACATGCTGTTTCTTGCTGTATCTCCTCATGATACAGCCTGTATGATTAATTGTAAGGCTGCAGCTGATTATTCTCTACTAATCTGACAATAGCTTGACTAGCCTTAATCATTTGGTCCATCAAATGTCAGGAAATAAAAAAAGCATTTGTCCTCATATCATTCAATTACCTGTCATATAATTAAAACATAAAATCCTCACAATTTCAAGGCCGGGATTCAGTTATGTTGGACATTGTTGCCATAACGATTGAAAATGTAAAATGATCGCCTATTCATTTTCTATTGATTGACTTATGAATGACTTAACTCGCCTCAATCTGTGCGAGTAGGATTTGTAGGTTGCTTTTTGTAAACACAACATGGAAAGTCGACCCCTCCTCTTTGGCTTAACAAGTTCAGCCATATTCAGTCTGGCTAGCTAAGGAGCATAGCTTTTGTGTCCAGACAGAAGAATTTAGCAGAGCTGCCAAAGCTTTATACTCAGACGACACTGATTACAGTCTCAGGGCAGCACAGAGCCCAGGGGAGAAGAGGCCGAGGGCGAGGGGCTGAAAAACAGGCAGAAACATCTCAAAACACAGCGAGACAAGAACGCACAGGTCAGCAGGGTCTCTGCAGATACAGACATGATGATTGAGAGAGGTTTTTCTTTTTAGTTGTTTTTTATGAAATCCTCATTTTGCTTTTGACTTAGGTAAAGCATTGTGTGTTACAGTGAATATCAGACAGACTCACTACGATACAACATGGTATTGGTTCAGATATTTAACAGGTTCAGTGTTGTGACTTTTGGTAACTATTTCAGCGCTCCCTTATCCCTTTCTCTACTGACCACTGACTGTATTTAACTACCTGCTGCTTACATACTGACACATACTTGGCGATACTGACAATTTGGGTTTGCATAGAAGTGCCAGACGGGTTAAATGCCCCCAGTAAAGCAACCTTTTTATGCCATGTGGCCCAGAGCAGGGACTTTCTCACTGCATACTGTTTCTGTTTATCCTACAGATCCTATCCTTTCTGAACTGAAATTGAATTTCCCCTGGGGGATCAATAAAGGTCCATCTTTCTTTCTTGCTCTTCAAGCATTGTAGTTTGAGACTCGTCAAAATGAAGCAGTGTCTGACTTGACCCCTCATCATGCGGTTCATGGTCTAAGTCGAGTGATTTCCTATCTCAGATGTGTCTTATTTGATTACCTAAGAGGCCCTGAGAAGTAAAAGTATCTAGTATTTCACAAAAATGTAAGAAAGAATAAAACATTTTCAGCAGCAATTTTTTTTAAATGTAGTCCTTTATTAATGTGAAGGCTACTCAAAATTAGACTTTTTCCAGTGTCCCGACTTCCAGTTATTTGACTTATTGGAATGGCTTGAGGTAAAATTCCAAAATAAATAGTAGTAAATAATAGTATACATTTCAGCTGAACCTGCAGTGAAGAACAAAAGGGAAATAATGTTTGAAGGTGCAGTATCACCCCTGTGTTGTCTTCAGGGTACCAAGTGTGCACTTCCTAGCTGATTATACAGATGTGATGCCCTCGACCTTTTGGTTGAACTTTTTCAGAAAATGTTGTGCAAGAGTAAAATATATGTAACAAAAAAAATATGAGGAAGTTCTGCAATTCTGTAATTTACTGAGATGTTTTTTTATACTTCCCGTAACATTATCCCATGTAGGCAGAATAAATCTGAGCACTGAGTATTTTATTAAATGGATGAATCTGATTTAGATGCAGCTATTAAATTAGTCAAAGGAATTAAATCATCACTACATTTATTCATGCTGCAGGACTTCCTGAAGGCTCTGCAATGATGTTGTAGATTATGCCCACAGAGTTGCATCATTGTATTACTTGTAAAAAAAAAAGTCTTCTCATCACACGCTTTTTTCCTCGCAGTGGTTGGTGGTTATTACCCCAAAGCTAGACTTTCTAAGAAGAATCAGTCAAAGGGACAAATCAACTAGCTACAGAGATTAAAGATTGTATCTGAGATTTGTACAATGTGTTCGATTAGAGAAAAAACTGTAATATGAAGTGTCATTGTAAATCAGATGAATCAGATGTCCTGCCGTTTCCCTTATAGTGTTTGTTCTGGATGACATTACTGATGGTGACATTATTCTCGAAACAAGGCAGTTTATTTCCCTTTATGTTTGCAGGGATTTTTCTTACACCTCGATCTAGAAGATATGGCGGAAAGATAGATAGATTTGATAGATTACAGTCTGATCTGCATTGTTTTGTTGTGTGAGGAAGTTGTGTTAGGTAGACCTGAGTGTTGTGAGGAAGTAAAAGTCCCATAGATGTGGTTTTTGAGATGAAGCAACTTGCTGATCTTTGAGGAACAACTGGGCAGATAGGTGTGGTGGTGCAACAGTACAATGCAGTCTCATTGTACTATGGACACACTCATTTTCTGACCACAGCGTTGAGGGGTTTAGTGATTTTTCCAGGCAGTGCCCTCCACTCCCATGTCTGTGCTGGAACAAGAGAGTTATAGGGGGAAAACAAAAGAGGAGTTCTGCTGCTGCTCTTTGTACAAACCACAAAGCTGCAGAGCTTCCTCCAATGAAAATGGTCTCCTATTTGACCACGAACAGTAATTCATAAACAATCTGCATTTCAGATTCTTGCTAAATGAGGCTTGGTTTGGAGACTGACTCCTGCACGGCTCAGTGAATCTCTGTGTGAAGTTGGTGGAACTGGCAGGACGCCACAGTTGACGATCAGCCCAAAAATGCCATGAATGAGAGAATTGGTGACTGAAAGGAATCAGCACAATTGGGCATACATCTATTTTGCTGGTGACAGCTTAACCAAAGAATTTGTGGATTTCATTATTGCCGACTGGCCATCTGAACATATCACTCTACTGCTGGCCTTCTTGATAAAATACATCTGCAAAGTATTCCTAAATGACAGACAATATAATAATGACAATGCATCTACTTATTTAAAAAAAAAATCTCATTCTGACTAATTTGCTGATTTAAAAAAAAGAAGAAGCAGATATTCATATTTCAATTCCTGTCCCTGGAAATGTCTGATAATAACTGTGGTTATAGTAAACATAAGAAGGCTCTACTTCCAGTGTAAACTCCCCCCAGATGTTTATGCAAATCATTTCTCACTGGTTGTGCAAGCTTGACATCTAATCTTTCATGTGCACACATGTTTTTATGCCTCTTTAATCCAGCTCTGGCTGATTTTAGAGTGAGTCAACCTGAGGCACAGATTGCAGCTTCCACTGACACAAAAGTTAAAATCTTAGCTGTGACTTTCTAAATCACGTATTGAAAAAGTATTTCGTATTTTTTTAACAGGTATGTGCTGTCCGAACCTCATCTTTGTCCCACATGGTCTAGGCTAGGGGTTAGGGTTCCTAGGTTCAGGCCTACCCTGAGAAAGATAAGTGTGGAGCAGTTATTTAGTGTTGTGAAATGCAGAATATAAATGTCACTGTATGTGTCATGCTGTGTACACGTTACATAATATAAACTTATTTTCTAATCTACTATATTTGGCCAATCAACAATGGATCAAATGTTTCCCATAGAAGTCAGTAGACTTGTTATGTTTAGCATAGCATAAAGTCTGGAAGCGGTGAAATAGCTAGCTTGTCTTTCCAAATGTAATATAAACTAATAAAAACTAAATCTGCCCACCAGCACCTCTAAAGCTCAATAATGAACACACGGAAAGGTAAAAACACCACATCGGATTATATGACAGACGGCTTCTTTTTCTTTTTAGGGTTCTGGACAACACAAACAATTTGAAAGTATTCCCCTAGATCTTTGGAAAATATCCAGGCATTTTTCACATTTCATGTACCAGTAGTGATAGAGAAAAACAGTATTCAGTTGGTACTCATATCGGAAATAGTTATAAATTGCTGCCCTATATACAGTATACTGCGTTATTCCATTTAACACATATCTTTTCTCACTGCTTTAGTGACTCCTGAAGGTTGTCTTCTCAGAAGGGCTAAGATGGTGTGAAGCTGGTGCCCACATCACAACCAGGGCCTTTAAAGACATTTCAATATCTTTGCTTCCTTTGAAGGGGAAGGTCATAAAAAGAAGAACGTCTCTAAAATGATTACAACAATTCCAATTGAATCCTTAAATGTCTGTGTTCACATTTAGTTATAAAATGTCAATGCAGTCATTCTTTGCTGGTTGATGGGGGATGATGCTGATTTTGGGGAGTACAAAATTAAGATAGACCCCACAGATGGGACAGGGAGGAGTTGGCGTTTTTAGTTTTTAGATTGCATACGGAGTCTTTAATCACATGTGATGTTTTTATGACCGCTCTGCTCTCTAACGCCCACAGCAGCATGATATCTAGGATTGTCTCTCCAGTGGACAAAACACTGTCCGAGCCAGGAGCGAGACAACTGTTTCCTGTTGACTGATTGTTGTTGAAATACTGTAAGCATGCTTTGTGAGGTTTTGATATCATCTGGGCCACTTGTCACAGATGGACAATGTTGTGAAATCTCTCAGTTCCTAAAAAGACCTCTCTATTTCCTATGATGCTCAGTGTGTTCAAGCTTAAGGCTGTCATATACAGATGTTATGGTAAGCAGTTAGCATATGATACCTCCATGTGACTATATATGTTCCTCAGGCCCCCCTTAAGTGTCTTCATTTCAAATGAATCACAAGGCTGCCTTTTCCTCGAATTTTTACGCAAATATACCGTACTGCTCACCGTGTGATGATGCATTATTAAATGAGTTCAGATTAAGTGCAAGCGCTATAAAAAGCTAGTTTGATCCGTCGTTCATGTAATACTGAATCTGTCAGATATTAATTTGGCTGCTCTAATTACTGTCCCTCTCTTTCAGGTGCTGGGGAATCTGGAAAGAGCACACTAGTCAAGCAGATGAAGTAAGTTACAGATTCCTTATAACACTCAACATGACGTTATATGCAGGGTTTCCACGGTTAAAGTCTCAACAAGTCTTAAATTCAATTGTCTGAAAGGAAGGCCTATAAAAAGTCTTAAAAACAAAAGCTTTACTGTTGTCTTAACTGCAAAGCCAGCTCACAACGTCCCGCCAACATGGCACCCACCCCACGCAGCATTCTCATCTGTTTATCATTGCTGGTGTCATTTTCTGGTTGCTAACGCCATTGTAACACATACGGACTTAAATGTAACTAGTTTAACCTTTAGAAAGCTTACATCAAACACCAACATACTGCTAAAAAACTCTGACACTATTCTTGTATTGCGTTGACGAAAGACAGACCCTCACTCCCACTTTTAGCTGCAGCCTTGTTGTCAGAGGTTAGTCATGTTTGGGAGAGTATTGGTCACAAACAGGGTTCATCTTTGTTAAAAAAAACACTGTGTAACTTAATGGGGACCCTCATTTCATTCTGCTTAGGCATTGTAGGAAGCCCCCTTTTGCATAACATGTTAAACAATGGCCACAGAGGCCAGCCGTACACTGGCAGGACGTGAATAGATTCCCCCAGTTCCCACATTAGCCATGCTGCATGCTCACAGAAGCTCAAATTCCAGCACTAATGACAGTGTGGCATGAAATGTTTCAATACTGTAATCGTCCCACATTTGTTAAATCCATTGTTCACACTGAGTAATATTTATCTGGACTCTAAAAACACACTTTAATTTTGTCTCTGTGTCAGAATCATTCACGAAGATGGCTACTCAGAAGAGGAGTGCAAGCAGTACAAAGTGGTCGTGTACAGCAACACCATCCAGTCCATCATGGCCATCATCCGCGCCATGGGTCGCTTAAAGATAGAGTTCGGAGATGCTGCACGAGCGGTACGTTTAAACAAGACTTTTAAAGAGCCATTTCCATTTATGATTTAAATCACCACAGGAACAAAATTACATTGTCATTTTTTTGCCAGGACGATGCCCGCCAGCTGTTTGTCTTGGCGAGCTCTGCGGAGGAAGGCGTGTTGCCGTCCGAGTTGACCACTGTGATACAGAGGCTGTGGGGCGACGTGGGAGTTCAGACGTGCTTCGATCGATCACGAGAGTATCAGCTCAACGACTCTGCTGCATAGTGAGGACTCTGACTACTTACTAACTACAACCTTGTTAAATGATTTAAAATAGAGAAGACTGCACTGCCATTCAAGGGAAGAAGTCTGTAGAAAAATGATTAGATTTGGCTTTCATTCTTTAATTTATTTTAAAGATTCTTTTGAGCAACCAGTGCTTTTATTGTAGAGACATTTTAAAGGAGGGAGACAGAGGAGATGACACATGGCAAATGGTTCCTGCCTGGATTGAAACCGGTCCTCCACTTGGAGACCTCGCCCCAGTACAAGGCTCTACTAATTGAGCCCATATTTTTTTTTTTTGTCAAAGTTAAACAATCCATCATGAGTTTATTTTCTTTTTCATACAGCAGAAATGTAATCAATGAATTATTCTGTCAATCCACGGGAAAATAATCAACACCCTTTCTGTTCCTTTTCTGAGGTGAGGACTAATAGGGAAGTTTAAAATAATTGCGTCATTCATCTTCTTACCAAAGAAACTGACATTTCTTGTTATGTTGATCCCCTCTCACTAGTATAGTTTGACTCAGTTGTTTTTTTCCTTCATGTCTGTTACATTACCACTGGAACACAACGGGAGGCAAGATGTGTCTTGTTCTTCACACTCTTGTGTCAGCTTGTTGTACTTCTGATTGCATTCCTGAAAAAGGAGAAACATGGAGGGGAAACTGACTATGGGAAAACTGTTTCAGATTATTATGATAGTCAACTACTAGATACAACCGTCTGATGAAGTTTAGGAAAAATGAAAACAAGTAGTTTGAGCTAAATATAGTCCAGTAAACCTTTGGTTTGTCTGCTACCGTAAGGTTTATCTCCCTGAAAGAAAAAGAAACTCAAGGACACTCACTATGTTTTGAAAACAGCCGAGCTTGTTGCACATTGTCCACACTGCGAGACAAGAGGAACCAGAGCAGTTAGTCTGTTTTAACTCAACCCACAAGGAGCCAGTGTTTATCACGGAGCAAAATATGAGCCCATATTTAGTATCATTCTGTGGAGTCTGTCTGCACAGCAAATCCTCCACTTCACCAGACACAAGTGTCCGCTTTGCAATACATTGTCCTTTTTCTTCTTTGCTTAAGGTCTTCTCAAATACATCCCCATCTCTATTATAGTATGACTGCACTGTTCAGGAAAAAAACAACTGAATCAATATAAAAAAACTCTTGGTTGCACATAAAACAAATCTAATAATAACATTGAAAAATACAATAAATGATAAAAGGAAAACAAATAAGAAATAAGAAATGAAAAACATAATTGTGTCCATTTTCTCTCTACAGGAAACTGCAATTTTCCATTCAAACATGGCTGCCAAATAGCATAACATGTCTGAGCACAGTCTCTTGTGAAATGCAGTGTAAAATTATGTATAAGATATTCACTCTGGCTTATATAGGTTGGAAAAAAACGTTCTCTTGCATTTAAGAAGCATACTTTGTCTGGCTAAACCATGTTAGGTTAAAATAAATTGAAAAACTGTTTTTATAAAGCACATATTGTGAGCTGTCTGTACTGCAGATACTACTAAAGTAAAAAGTGTCCGGTGATCTGTGTATTTGCTCACATGTTTTCTGTCTCCCAGCTACCTGAATGACCTGGACAGGATCTGTCAGCTGAACTACGTCCCGACTCAGCAGGATGTGCTGCGTACACGTGTGAAGACCACTGGCATTGTGGAAACTCACTTCAACTTCAAAGATCTCTACTTCAAGTAAGTATACCTGTAACTCATGATGGATTTTTGTATATAGTTTTACCTCTTTAAATGCAAGTTATGATGAGGCTTTAAAAAAAGGAAAAAAAATAATCTTGGAGTCAGTGACATAACACACTTTTTAAAAAAAAATGTTTTATCGTGATTAAGAAATTATTCAAACATACACAAATTGCAGAAACATACTCAACATAATGGTACAGATAGAGCAAAATAGAGAAATACAGAGAAAATAGAGAAACATTTAAAATAACTTTGAGATTAATAATAAGAAAAACCCAGTTTTCTTTAAAGAGTTCACTGACAGTTTAACAGTTTTATCATCACACTCACATACAAAGTTGGTTTAAGTAACAACATCTTGGTTTCACATGCTTTAAGTTTAATGCAATATCTCACCTTTATACTGTACTGTGTTCATATCCATCCAGCCGTCTGTGTTCCCTCATAGTATAAATAATATTTTACATTAACCTGATCGCAGATTATTTGGCTTGTTTTTTTGGGACGTTACATACTTAGGTGCTGATTTTATAACTGTCTTTTATAACACCCATTAGTTGCTGACTGGTATTCAGCCGAATACGACCCACCTATGAAGCAGTAAATGTGATTACATCTCTCCAGTCCTTTTACATTATGTTATTATCCAGCTCCTGTACTTACAAATATTGGTGTAACATTAACCGTAATAGCCTCCCTGGCCTGCCTCTGTAACCTCATCAAAAAACATCGCAGGATCTGGAAATGTGTAATCCCTGAATGTGGGAGCATACAATTCTGCATCAGTTAGCTCAGTACTGATTCAGTGTGTCTCTCAGGGCCTCAGGTGGAGACAAATGCATGTGTGTGTGCATGTGTGTGTGATTGTGTGTTTGTGCTCTTGCCCTGGATTTACGAGGACACTCATCTTCATGAAACACTGGGGGGAAATGGCATTAGAAGAAAAATGAGCATGCATTCAGTGTACATGTATTCATGCAGTCTCTGTGTCTTTGTCTGCAGGATGTTTGATGTCGGTGGTCAGCGCTCAGAGAGGAAGAAGTGGATCCATTGTTTTGAGGGTGTCACATCTATCATTTTCTGCGTAGCTCTCAGTGACTACGACCTAGTCTTGGCTGAGGATGAGGAGATGGTTAGTAAAGGATACACTGTTTGCATCTTAACACATATACTAGAAAAAAGATGTACAAAACGTTAATGTACCTACACAGGCAATTTGTGATACAGCACAGTAAACATTAAACTCATTGGAGACATCATTTAAACTGAAAACATCTGAGACAATATAGTCCATAATCATGATCTAAGAAATAAGAGATATTATTTTGCATAATCCTTTGTGCTGCATGCCCACAGGTCTATGAAAGGACATAACATCACAAGAGGTGTTACTAATAAAAGCATTAATGATGGCTCTGCTCTTTTCAAATGTGCTATAAAGTAATGACAGTGTGACAGTGAACCAGCTTTTATAGCTTGTAAGTGCTGGCAAAGACACATTAGTACCCTTTTCATTTGGACTCAGCCACTAAAAGCCATGTAAAATATGTTTTTATAAAGAGGCTCTGGTACATGTGGAATTGTATTTTATGTGCCACACAGAGCCCTTGGTTCAGGTTGAGTAGACATCATGCCAAACAGGCTCTGACTGGCACTGTTAAGCCCCCCATCACCCTGAAACTAAAGCAGTTCAATCAAAATCAATCATCATTCATTTTAGGGTTATTATGACGATATCTCAGTGTTGACAATAACTTTTACATTTAAAATCACATGATTGGTACACATAAACTGTTCTAAGGTGAGTCCTTACTGCAACGGAGCATGTTGGAATTCAACCCCAGGCCCAGGCATGTCATTCCCTCTCTGGCCCTTTATGATTATCTTCAGCTGAACTGCATAAAGGCAAAAAACTCAAAAATAATGTTTACAAAAAATATGATACCATTGTTTAAACAATTATCATCAAATCACAATTCGTATGCCTTTCTGTGGTCATGGTTACAGACACTATGTGTAATTGTTTCTATATATATCACCACAATACACTCATTATAAAATATTTTGGTGATAATCATGTTGAAAAAATCAGACATAGATACAACCCTTATTATTTTATAATCAACTCTTGTGTGTTCTGTGAAAACAAATCATCATCTGCTCTATCCTCAGAACCGGATGCATGAGAGCATGAAGCTTTTTGACTCCATCTGCAACAACAAGTGGTTCACACTCACCTCCATCATCCTCTTCCTCAACAAGAAGGACTTGTTTGAAGAGAAGATCACCCGGAGTCCGCTCACTATTTGCTGGCCCGAATACTCTGGTGAGACGAAGCGATGCATAAACCTTTTCTTGAAGTGTGACGTGATATTATCCGCTGGTGTGTTATTTGAATGTTTTGATCAGAGCAAATATGCATGTATCTATCTCTTGAACAGCTGAGTGATCATCTTCTATGAAATTCTCCTTTCATATCTCGAATAGAATATATATTGACATAGCAAGTTTTGTTGTAGTTTAAGAAATAAATAGTCTATTTCAGGAACTTTAGTGCCAAATAAACAGTTTTAGGTGACCTAGCCTAAAAGGGATTTGATGATATATATTGTCATCATTCACAGCCCTACTTTTGTGCATTTGAGCATTTACTTCCTGGAAATTAACATGCTAAGATAAGAGAATAGTTGGATCTCATATCTTGAAATGATACTATATTATTTAGCTGTTGCAGCGAGAGAATCTTTTTGTTGAATAGGCTTTAAATAAACAACATCTCTTTATTATGTAAATGCTCGAACAAGTGACACATGTGAACCTCATCAGCCACAAGCTTTTTTAGTTTAACTGAATAATTTACTGCAGCTCATTCTGCTTGCCAGGTTTATTAACCACAGTCATACTGATGTTCATAATTGATTTGGACAGTTACATCTATTTATAGATCTGCAACACATGATTTGGTGTCATGGTTCATCATTTTTAACTTATTCATACTAAGCATTCCTAAAGGTGTTTCTGCACAGCAGTCACATACATAATTGAACAGCCGCTAGCAGAATAAAATCCAAAAAACAAATGTACAAAAACCTGCCTCAAAAGAAAATTACAAAAGTTAGTTAGAACACTGGCATTAAATTACAGCTTCAACTGGTCATAGATTAATGCCATGTGTTTAACCTACATTGTAAAAAAGAGAAAGAGCTGACAGGATTTAAATGTTAATTATAACCACGTTCTTTTTATGAATTACCTTTTCTTTTTTTTTACTGCAGCTGGGAATTCGTACGATGAGACTTCATGTTATATCCAGGCCCAGTTTGAAGACCTTAACAAACGAAAGGGCACCAAGGAGATCTACACTCACTTCACCTGTGCCACAGACACCAAGAATGTTCAGTTTGTGTTTGACGCCATCACCGACGTCATCATCAAGATCAACCTGAGGGAGATCGGGCTTTACTAAAGCTTCAGGCGCTGCAGGTCAGCACACTGACCTTCACCTGCACTACAGCTCCTGCACAGCGCTGCAGAGATGTGGCAATAACAGTTTACCATGTTAGGTTATTGCATCACTGCAAAGACAGTTTCTGTGATTTCACTCATGTGTTGGGTCCAGAGAGTTAAATATCTTCATGACAATTAGATGAATACAACTCAAATTAGCCAATATAATCCTATAACCTTGTTCACCTGAGTTTTTATAGAATGTCGCTAAAATGTGTCAATTTTATGTTAGGATACATACACAAAAGATTGACACTGGCACTTGGAAATTCAAGGCGTTGTGTCATAAAGTGAGTATAATTAATTTGAACTGAACAAACTGTGGAAACACCTATGGGTCAAACAAAAAACCATCAAATCAAATAATCAACTCCATCCACTGATGAAGGCTGTGTGATATTGTTCAATGATCTGGAAATAGCATTGACCCTGCGATAGGATTATAGATTGCTTGATCATTAAAATATTCACAAATCCACAAAAACATTGAACAAAATAGATTTCTACACTTATCTGAATTATGAGAAATACAGAACAATATATCTACTCTCTGAACTTTTAAATCGCTAAAAAACAAGTGTTCCCTTCCACACACCCCTGTGTTATGATGGCGTTTGGTATCACCCATGAGCAGCTACATTTTGCATGTTTATCAGTGTGAAGATGTCCCCAGTAGAAAGCAGTAGGCCTAATGGTAATGTAAGGAACAAAATGCACTGAGACAGAAGTTAGGAGTCTTTGCTCCCCATTACTAAATTCAGCTAACTCGTTTTACAAAAGGAAATAGAGAAAAAGTACACATTTAAGATAAACGTTTTTGCTTGTTTTGTAGTGTGCATTACACGTGGTAAAATGACATTTAAGACAAGGTAATTCAAGTGTGTGTGTTTGTTTTGATGGAAAATGCTAACATACTTAACGTTATGCTAACAAGCTACATTTTAAATACCTGGCATGCTAAGTGTTACCGTCAATACATTAGCATATGTTACCATGCGAACTGTGGATTTCAGTTTGAAGTTAAAATTACAGCTCAGAATGATACAAATATTTTCACGTTTGAGAAGTAAGTATTTCACTCATTCACGCATTTATTAGGCACACGCACACCTGTATCAAATACAACAGCTCTCAGACATACATTTTACCTTCGCAACGATGATGATTTACTTTCTAAGAGGTGTAGTCATTTATTTAACTTTTTGTTTAATCTGTTATAGTTTGAAAGTGTTTTTTAACAGGACTGCCTTTTTGGAGATTTTAAGATTTAGCACTCCACCATGTATCATTAAAGCTAGATATCCTTATCAAAACGATATAAGAAACACTCCAGTACAACACCATCACTAACTGAGTAACATTGTTTTAAAAGTTATTTAAAAAAAGGATTATAATAAACTTTGAACAGGTAGAATATATGATAATCTGTGTAGGAGTTTTTCAACAAACCATTTTTGTAATGGAAGACCCAAAGCTGCCTTGTCATACAAAAATAGAGCAGCTTATACATGAAATTGTAAATGACATGTTCTGAAGCATTGCATTTATTTCATATGGCCATATTTTTATGTTTTTTTTCCTTTTCCTTGCAGGTGTCAGGAGCAGAATTGGGACTTCTGGGCCGATATGTCTTGTCTGCAGAAGGAGAATTAGAAAGTAGGTGTTACTAAGGACTAAGCTGGTGCCATGCTGCATGCAGGACCTAAATTCCGCAATTTGGGGACTTGATACCACCATTACTCAATAGATGTTATGATGCAGAGCGCAGTGGGAGGAAGTGAAAGTGGTGGAGGAGGCTTGTGAAATGATCGCTGTGAGATTTGTGAAGTCCTGTCATATACAAGACCTTTGCATCAGTCTGGGGCTGACAGGTAAAGCTCCTCTGATGTCTCTGACGCATTTATAGTTTGTCTATATGTACATGGACCAAAACAGACTGCCTGTTTTATCAGATCCATTTCACAGTTTCACAGCTGATGTACATTCTGTTCACTTTTTTTCTGTTGCAAAGCTTAATTCTGTATTACATAACTTTTATTGAATATTTGCATATAGTATATTTAAATTTTTGGATGTGTGAATGCGTTAAATTATGCATTGAGAAGCGTTTTGTTCGGGCAGTTTTGATGTATATAACGTAACCTTTTGGGTCTGGGATTAGTTAGCAAGAGTGTAATGAACAAAGTAGCAACACGGCTGTCTACATAGTTAATAGTTAATCATTTTTAACTTGACAACATTGTATTGAACAATATTTTTGTACACATCACTGCAAATCAATTTGTAAAGGGAGATCTTGATTTCCCTGTGTTTTTTTCAAAGGGGGTATAATATGACCTACTTTTATCACTAAGGTCAATATGGAATTTTTTGTTTAGTTAGTGATGATATATTCAAGGATTATTCATTGTCAAAATGCAGCATATGCAAGTGAATTCCTGAAAATGTAGTTTTTCTGTTGTGCAACAGGAGGATAATAAACAAACAAAACAATCGTAGATATTATCTGTGCGAATAATATCTAAATATTTAAAATGACAACATGGGTAAAACATGGTCCATGAACTTTGGCCTTTGAGCACCAAGCATCTTTGATGTAAACTCACAGCCACCTCGTCTCAGCGGAGTGCATCGCTCTGTCCTGTAGCCGGGTTTAGCTTAGCATTGCTCTCTCTTTCCTCTCCTTCTGTATTGGAGGCCAAACATCTCAAAAGCCTGGCCATTGTAGACACCAACTATCCCGCCGCTAGGCACCGTCCAGCACCGTCCAGCAGTGGTGGAGCTGGGGGGTGGCCGTGGCCACCCCCAGCTGAATCCTGGCCACCCTACATTGATAATGTACTCACTAAACTTACAATTCATTCAACTTATTTTCTTCCAAAAGTTAATTATCCAAAACCTCTGTACACCCCCTTCTATTTACATGTAATGGTTTGGTCCTGCCTCCAAACGCGCACGGCACTTTCTTGCAGAGAGTGAGAGCATGTTAGGAGCAGGGATGCTAGTACTTACGTGTGTACCATGTCTCAACGACTTACAAAGTCAGGCTTTCAAAAAGAAAATAAATGAGAAAAAGACAAGAGAGAGGGACTAAAGGGCGACAGTATGTCACCCAGTTTTTCAAAAGAAAAGGTGGGTGTGGTCCATGACCATGAGTGGTGGAAATGTGTCTGTTAGCTAAGCGTAGTCCATTGTAAATAATAATTGTTTTGTTTTTTTGAGAGAGGTTTGTGTGCCCTGATGAACCTGGGGGCTGTGTTGTCTGGAACCTTGTGTTCCTGGTAGGGTCTCCCATGGCAAATGGGTCTCAGGCAAGGGGCCAGACTAAGATTGGTTCAAAAGACCTCATGAAAGAACAACAAAGAAGTGAGGATACCCGGCCCGGAGAAAGCCCGGGGTCCCCTTCTGGAGCCAGGCCCAGAAGGAGGACTCGTCAGCGAGCGTCTGGTGGCCGGGCTTGCCACGGAGCCCGGCCGGGCACAGCCCGAAAAGGCAACGTGGGCAACACCTCCGCTTCTCCGTCCCGCGGGCCCACCACCTACGGGAAACAGCGATGGGGTCGGGTGCGCTGCCAGAAGGGTGGCAGTGAAAGCAGAGGGTCTCGACGGACCAGACCTGGGCGACAGAAGCTGGCTTTGGGGACGTGGAACGTCACCTCTCTGAGGGGGAAGGAGCCGGAGCTTGTGCGGGAGGTGGAGCGTTACCAGCTGGATCTGGTTGGGCTCACCTCTACGCACAGCGTCGGCTCTGGAACCTTACTTATGGATAGGGGTTGGACTCTATTCTTCTCCGGAGTTGCTCAAGGTGTGAGGCGTCGGGCGGGTGTGGGGATAATCACAAATCCCCGGTTGGGTGCTTCGTTGTTGGAGTTTACCCCAGTGGACGAGAGGGTTGCCTCCCTACGCCTGTGGGTTATGGGGGGGGGAAAACTCTGACTGTTGTATGTGCTTATGCACCAAACAGCAGTTCAGAGTATACGGCCTTCTTGGAGACCCTGGAAAGAGTCCTGTATGGGGCTCCTGAAGGGGACTCTTTAATCTTGCTGGGAGACTTCAACGCACATGTGGGCAATGATGGAGACACTTGGAGGGGCGTGATTGGGAGGAACGGCCCCCCTGATCTGAACCGGAGTGGTGGTTTGTTACTGGACTTCTGTGCTAGTCATGGATTGGCCATAACAAACACCATGTTCGAACATAAGGATGCTCATAAGTGTATGTGGTACCAGAGCACCCTAGGCAGAAGGTCCATGATCGATTTTGTTATCGTATCATCGGACCTGAGGACGTATGTTTTGGACACTCGGGTAAAGAGAGGGGCGGAGTTGTCAACTGATCACCATCTGGTGGTGAGTTGGGTCGAGTGGCTGGGGAAGCCTCTGGATAGACCTGGTAAGCCCAAACGTGCAGTTTGGGTGAACTGGGAACGTCTGGAGGGGGCCCAAGTTCAGGAGGCCTTCAACTCACACCTCCGGCGGAGCTTTTCGGGCATTCCTGTGGAGGTTGGGGACATTGAACCAGAGTGGTCGGTGTTCAAAGCCTCTATTGCCGAAGCCGCGGCGGGGAGCTGTGGTCTCAAGGTCTTAGGTGCCTCAAGGGGCGGTAACCCTCGAACCTCCTGGTGGACACCGGTGGTCAGGGAAGCCGTTCGACTGAAGAAGGAGGCCTTCAGGGATTTGTTATCCCGGAGGACTCCCGAGGCAGTTGCAAAGTACCGACGGGCCCGAAGGGCAACAGCCTCAGCCGTGGCCGAGGCAAAGCAGCGGGTGTGGGAGAAGTTCGGAGAAGACATGGAAAAGGACTTTCGGGCGGCACCAAAGTTGTTCTGGAAAACTGTCCGACACCTCAGGAGGGGGAAGCAGGGAACCATCCAAGCTGTGTACAGTAAGGATGGGACGTTTTTGACCTCAACTGATGGAGTGTTAGGGCGTTGGAAGGAACACTTTGAGGAACTCCTGAACCCGACAACTCCGCCCTCTATGTTAGAGGCAGAGCTGGAGTATGATGGGGGATCAACACCAATCTCCCTGGGGGAGGTCACTGAGGTCGTCAAACAACTCCACAGTGGCAAAGCCCCGGGGGTGGATGAGATCTGCCCAGAAATGCTGAAGGCTCTGGGTGTTGAGGGACTGTCATGGTTGACACGTCTCATCAACGTTGCGTGGAAGTCAGAAACAGTACCGAAGGAGTGGCAGACCGGGGTGGTGGTTCCCCTTTTCAAAAAGGGGGATCAGAGGGTGTGTGCCAATTACAGAGGCATCACACTACTCAGCCTCCCCGGGAAAGTTTACTCTAAGGTACTCGAAAGGAGGGTCAGGCCGATTGTTGAACCTCAGATTGAGGAGGAACAATGCGGATTCCGTCCTGGTCGTGGAACGATGGATCAGCTTTTTACTCTCGCAAGGATCCTGGAGGGGGCCTGGGAGTACGCTTATCCGGTCTACATGTGTTTTGTAGACTTGGAGAAGGCATATGACCGAGTTCCCAGGGAGTTACTGTGGGAGGTGCTGCGGGAGTATGGGGTGAGGGGGTCTCTACTCAGGGCCATCCAATCTCTGTACTCCCAAAGCGAGAGCTGTGTCCGAGTCCTCGAGAGTAAGTCGGACACATTTCCGGTGAGGGTTGGCCTCCGCCAGGGCTGCGCTTTGTCACCAATCCTATTTGTAATATACATGGATCGGATTTCGAGGCGTAGTCGTGGGGGAGGGGGTCTGCAGTTCGGTGGACTAAGGATTGCACCACTGCTTTTTGCAGATGATGTGGTTCAAATGGCTTCATCGGTCTGCGACCTTCAGCACTCACTGAATCGGTTCGCAACCGAGTGTGAAGCGGCTGGGATGAGGATCAGCACTTCCAAATCTGAGGCCATGGTTCTCAGCAGGAAACCGATGGACTGTCCACTCCAAGTAGGGAATGAGTCCTTACCCCAAGTGAAGGAGTTCAAGTATCTCGGGGTCTTGTTCTCGAGTGAGGGAACAATGGAGCGTGAGATGGGCCGGAGAATCGGAGCAGCGGGAGCGGTACTGCCGTCGCTTTACCGCACCGTTGTGACGAAAAGGGAGCTGAGCCAGAAGGCTATCTCTTCGCTGGTCTGGGAGCGCCTTGGGATCCCCCAGTCAGAGCTGGTTGATGTGGCCAGGGAAAGGAACGTTTGGGGCTCTCTGTGCAGTTAGTATTGGACTACAAGATAGATGCAAGCCTGTAGGCCTACAGGTTATTTAAAGCATAAATGAGTCGGTTGGGTTCTGGAGGTGTGGTTACAGCAATTGTGCTTGGTTAGCTCATAGTGCTGCTGATAACCATAAGCTAAACAGTATGTATATTGCATTACATTTGTATAATGTAAGCTTCGTTGTTACTTTGCCAAAAATAGTTACATATACTGAATATTATTTTTTCTATTCCACCACTAGCTTAATCCCACATAATGTAGAGGTGTGTTGTAGGTGTCTTAAATAACCCCTTATTTTCTAGTGAGATGTATTTTTATGTTCATATAATAGAGATTTCAATGCCACCCCAAAATCATCACTGGTTCCATCCTGGCCACCCCACTGAAAATGTCCTGGCTCCGCCACTGCCGTCCAGTCGAACGCTCCAACAGAGCAGATTCAACAGAACTTCACTCGCATAATTCACAGCTAAAAGGCTAACAAAATGGTGAATGCATGAAAGTGTGTTATTGCCTTCTTCATTACAAAAATGTGATGCTATTGTGGGGGATTTAGTCAATTTAATTCTCAAGTAAATCTTTTAAAACAACGATATAAAAAAATCTCTTGACAGAACAGGACAACTGGATATGTGTTGTCTTAAACTCGTCCCTGGTCGGTGGTGTTCGGTCCGGCAGGCCTACTGACTGGCTGGGTGGTCGTCGGAAGGAGCCGTGGGTGGAGATCGTCTCAAAGTCTGTGTTCCCCCAAGACCCGCCTCCTTCCCCCAAGTTCATTTCAGTCATATATATATATATATACACATTTAACATACAAAGTGAGAAGTTTGAAAAAGCCAGAGGTTGTATTTGTTATTTTTGGCTTGAGCCATCCCATAATACTGAGGAAGTCTGTTTCTGTAGCATAGGACAGTTTGGATTACGAAAGTCACTTCCTGCACAGAGAAGTCCTGGTAGGAAACATTCCTATAGCTTTATCTACATTGCTTCAGTTGCATTGGTACATTTTCACACATTAAATAATAGCACTGAGTTGTATCCCTTCCTTCTGTTTTAAAGACAAAATCAACTCCATAATTGTACCACAGGCAACACCCTTTAGTTGTTATCCACTGTGAGATTATTCAAGGCTAGTTCCCCTAAACCATGCAGGGAAGAAGGTCATGCAAACTGGAAAGACTATTTTTAGACATCAGACACATCTGTATGCTGGAGCAGAGGGCTCCAGCTGTTTCACACACTTCAACTCACCTTTAAGTCCTCATTGTCCTAACTTGTTTATTGTATCTTTAAAAAAAACAGTCAATCATACTTTATTAATGATGTGATTAATGCAACATGAAAGTGTTCAGCATGCAGATGAATTACCGCTTTCCTTTATTCAGCTCTGTCAATAGGTTTATTGTTAATGCACTTCTAGATGTGTATACTTGTATAAAAGCAGCTGTGTCCCCAACAAGTAGAAGCCTGATGCTTTCCCGTTTTTCTCGATTAACTGTGTGATTCTGAAGCAAAGAAACAGACACACGTGAAGTTAATGCATCTTTATTTCGTGCCTCTACATTTAATAAGAAAGGACAAACTGAGTAGATTTCATTCCCTTTTCATAATAAAGCATCATCCCTCTAGTGTTTCACTCTCGTATAGATTTATCTTTCAAAATATATGGAATTACCTACTCTTATGTACAAAGTTTCTCTACCATGTTTGCCCTTCTGAAATTTATTTATTTATCACATCGAATTGTAAAGTGAATTGAATACATTTAACACTATTTAGATTAGATACATGTACAATTTGGATGTAATCTGGATATACTGCAAGCACTGGGAATATCTGAGATATTTTCTCAGCAACTTTTTTACAGTTTAAATATCAAGACCACAGAGACTACTGTACTCAAAACAAAAACAAGGTTGCAATGTTGCTATTCACAATATTAATGTTTCCCCCGATTTTAGTGTTTTATTTATTTTTACAGAGCTCGGTTTTAATAGTAAATATAACTCACAACACGGTAGTCAAAGGAAAGCAACGACCAAATGAGTTGAGACCAAACTATTTCATCTGCATCCCTTCAAACCAGCAGCTTCTGGTGCGTGACAAATACTGTACTTAAGAAAATCTTGTAGAAAGCGGTTTGTCAACAACAACAATATGGTGACTCGATAGTTGGGCGTGCATTGGGTTTCAGGGATGTACTGCTGGAGGTGGTGATATGCGAGGATCAGTCAAGAAGCGGTACTTGGCATGGGAGTGATGACCTGAAGACGACCAACTGAGGAGCCTCTGCTCTCCAGCAGTACACAACTCAGTTAATGCCAATAAGTGACGGGATAAGGTAGGAAAGGAAGTTCTGCAAAACAGAGAGAAAACAAGTAAAACAATTTTGTATCACTTCAAATCAAGTGTAAAATCTCTTGCATCTTTTAACATGTTCCCCTAGGATCCTTCAAAACTCTTAAAGGCAGTGAATTCAAAATATTTTGGTTTTAAAACAAAAAAACAAAAAACGTAAACATGGCAACAAGGTATTAATGAGCTGTTTTCTCTTACGTTGCTCTATATATAATCTCAAAAACAATTGATAACATCTATTTCTTTAACTAATAATCCACAAATGCCTCTACCAATAAGGTCAGGTTGTTTTGAATGCAAATTTGAATGTAAAAGTGGCGTTCACCTGCCTTAAGCTTTAGAAGCCCTGTTTAAAGGTTTACATGTTGTAATATCCATAGCAACATAATCTTTGGGTTTAAAGCTTCACTGTATTTCTATATCGAAAAGTTAACTTTCTTTGGGAGGAACTGTGTCTCTGTGTAGTTGCTTGGCAACACAGGACTGCCAGATATAATTTGCTATACGAGGGTCACATTGAATTGTCAGGGGTCTGCCTCTTATGGACCCTATTACTCAACAAAGACCCCCGCAGTGTTGTGATGTGGTGGCCACGCACCTCTTTTCACTCTGGAGCTGCTTAGAAGAGACCGCAATCTTTAAGGTTTTCTTTGATGATGATGTCTGTCACAGCGTTGAACACAATCTGCACGTTCTTTGTGTCTGTGGCACAGGTCAAGTGGGAGTAGATTTCCTTCACTCCCTTCTTCATGTTCAGTTCCATGAACTGCAACTTGATGTAGTTGGCGGCGTCATCGTATGAGTTGCAACCTAAAACAAAAAGCAGGGGGTAAAAATGGTAGAGGATTTATGAGTGTATTATTGTATATAAAAATCAATGCATAATTCTGCATCACTGTGTTGGTCAGCTCAAATGATGTAAGTTTAATATAATTACTTGCATCACATAATTGTATTAAAGCTCTCTGCAGTTTCTCAAGACTCCTCATTTGATCATTTCAGTCTTCCTTTAGTTTGAGCAGTTTGAGTCACAAGTAAAATTAATAGCAAGTTGTGTTTCTATGCATTTTAGGTCCATTTACACATTTTCTTTTCAGACATGTTCCTGTTACAGTCTCATGTAAATCAAAGCTTAACCATGACTTGTTAGCTGAGTGTGATCCCCTCTCACTGCATGTCTGACAGATAATAGGTTATTTTAGCATCTCGCTGTCAAACGTAGTCCTGTCATAGCAGCACAGAGTGCGGCAGCTTTAAAACTTCTTACCATCATAGTCTGGGAAGCAGATGCTCAGATGGACTTTCTTGATCTTGTCCTCAAAGAGATCCTTCTTGTTGAGGAAAAGCACGATGGAGGTCAGTGCAAAGAATCTGTGGTTGCAGATACTGTTGAATAGATGGAGGGACTCGTGCATGCGGTTCTGAAAAAGGTCAGAGAGGAACAGGATGAGTTTACCAGCTGACGTGTGTCGCCTCGTGCTTTACGATAGGATGGCGGAGTTTTGACTCACCACTTCGTCGTCCTCTACCAGCACCATGTCGTATGCACTGAGAGCTCCGCAGAAGATGATGCAGGTCACACCCTCGAAACAATGGATCCACTTCTTCCTCTCTGACCTCTGGCCACCCACATCGAACATCCTGTTCACCACACAGAAACACAATGTCAGCCCTGGATATCATGCTGCTTTGAGGCAATGGTTCCCTAACCCTATTGCCCTGTCAGATGAACTCCCTTCATCAAACCACAATGTGTGTTTCAAATGTAGGGCAGAATTTATGTAAAAGTGAATATATTAAATGTGTTCATACAATTGAACTCTATATATTTTGGTTGGTTAAAATCATACTACTGCTTTGAGTAAAACCGACCATTTTCTTCATTACTTTTAGCTAATCTTATGAACTGTTTAGTCGTTACTATTAAACTTCACCAACTAGTTTTGGGACACACTTGCATGCCTGCCCCATATGTTCAGGTGTTAAAGTTGACTTGTTCCTAATATCTACATTTATTCTTTAGCTAATACAATATACCCCTGGTTGAGAATCACTGCTGTAATGTTCAGTCAGTTATTGGTGGTGTCATGCTTTGTATAAGGCCTGATTGTGACTCACCTGAAGTGCAGCTCTTTGCAGGCGAACTGTTCTTCAATGATACCAGTTGTTTTGACTCGAGATCGCAGAACGTCCTGCTCAGAGGGGAGGTAGTCTGGTTTGGCGATTCTCTCCATTTCATTGAGGTAGCTGAGAACAAACGAAATAGCAATCAGACTTCAGATTTAAAAACATCTCTATCTATAAACACTAAGCCAGCTGCCTCTATAGTTTGACATGAAAGCTCTCTACTGTATCTATCCCAGTAGCAAACGTGGACTCACTAGCCAGCGGAGTCGTTCAGCTGGAACTCAGCAGCGCGATCGTAGGCGGCCTGCACACCAGTGTCTTTCCACAGTTTCTGGATGACATCACTCAGCTCAGGAGGCATTGTGCCCTCTTCAATGGAGTCGGACAAGTTCTGCAGCTTCTGTGCATTCTCCTGTTGGTTTAAATGCACACAGTACCACGATCCATCAGCAACAGTACTACAGAACTATTTAGTGTACGTCAGAAAAAATTGACTCTATAAGTTAATCATGTCTGGTCTACATCGTTTTAGTGTCATATGAGACCTGTGCAGTGGGAGAGCCAAAATCAATGGTCAGCATCTCCATGCCTCTGATGATAGCCAGAGTAGACTGCAGGATGTTTCCATAGACGACTCCCCTGAACTCCAGTTGTTCCTCTTTTGTGTAACCACCTTGATGCAGAATCCTGTACACAGAAAAGTGATAGTTTATGGGTGGTAATTTTTATTTCCCAGATATATAGACATGTTTATATAAAGGCTGTTTGGGGAAACCTCCATTGAAATGGAACAACTAGGATCTTGAAAGTATATGCTTTAGTTTTTTCCACACATGTGAAAAGGGAAGTTAACATGACATAGAAACAACCCACTGGAGCTGGTGCTCACAGCGCCCCCCTGTGGTGTGTTTCTGACCTCACTCAGCTCTTACTGCCACAGTGTAGCGCACAAAACAAGTGCTGACAAATCAGAGTAAGCGGATGTTTGCCCTGTCGACCTTTTGTTAAAAGGCTTGACTGCAAGTGAAACAGAAAGAGATGAGGGATCTATGGCCTGCTGGCTGCATTCCCGACTGATGAGATTTAAAAAAAGACTCCCGTAGCTTGTCTCTGACATGGTGTGGATGACACAAAACCAAATCACGTATCCCTTATTTTAATACTTACTTCATCTGTTTCACAATGGTGCTTTTTCCTGACTCGCCAGCACCTGGAAGATAAGAACAGTGTAAGCAAAAAAACACACAAATGTTTCTCTTCACATGCCACTGAGTAGAAACACAATGCACGCAATAAACATAAGAATAATTAGTCTTGATGATGCAGTACATTTTAAGGGGCAATCTGGGCAAAAATAACAAAATGCTGTGACCCAAATCTGTTTGGCTTGTTTCACAATGATTCTCTGAACATTAAGACTACTCAATGAAACTGGCTTTGTGCTAGTGCTAGAGTTACCTTTAAGTTACATATGTTTATGGAAATCATGCCAGTGCTATTCAAGAAATCCATTGTCAACAGTTTCACTAATCACTGTCTTTGTGTTAATGTACTATTGTCTATCTTTATGTAAATACATATGTGTGAGCATTATTGTCAAAAGTACAGCTTTACAAAAAGAGCTTATTTTTCACTTTTGTCCGAGACAAATTTGTATGTTTTCTCTTGTTTTTTCAGAAAAAACTATCTTGACAACATCAGACAGTGTTATCTGTCACACCTTTTAATATTGGCTATTTGTGTCTGTCAAAGAATGGTAAGCCTGAAGTTGTGATGGTTTAAAAGAGACACTGAAGTGGCTAAAGGCGCGGCTAACGGGCAGCATAATCTCCTCACAGCACAGCAACAAAGCTCTTGGCTTTCTGGTCTCGCTGAGCTGCATAATGTAGTCTAATTATGTCCTATGGAAGTAATTGATGTCAGATTATCAGGAGGTTTTTGTACATCGAGGCCATCATGCAGCGATAAATGCGAGTGTGTAAGCAGATGCCTCTAAACTTTAAGAAATGCAACTCTATATGGAGGCAATCCAGACAGGAGGAGAATTATGTTTGCTTTTCTGGGAACAGCTTCTCTGGATCAAATTAATATTGTGAATACTTTGTATCATGGATCAATGCACTAGTAGTGGACTGTGCAGTAATGTGCAATTCAAGCCACAGTTGCATTGTTTTGGTAAAAAAAACATGCAGGTAGATCAAGCTCTCTGCAGCATTGTAAGCTCAGCCAAGAGGAGTTTATCACAGAGCAAAGCCGGCTGTCCTGCTCTCATTGGAGCCACGTTAAGCTCCATCCTCAGATTTACTGCCTGAGCATTTAAAGACACTCGTGTGACCTCGCCCGCTCAGGAAAGAACTTGTAGGTTTCTCCTTGCTTGTGATGGGCTGGTAAAGATGGCACTGATACGTTATCAAGACTGATTTGCATGAGCTGTGATGATGTAATGAAGAGTGTCTTTATCTTTATGCATGAGTCATTCTTTCACCTCGTGCTCATTAACGAATGTTCCCTTGGCTTTACTTTGACACTAAATCTGACTTTAAAAGGGAGATCTCTGTCCATGTTTATTCTGCAGAAATACTATAGATGTTTTTACTTTAATCAACAAAAAGACATTTGGTTTTCAGCAATCTACAAACTGTAGGGAACATATTTGATAATGCAGTCTGGGAACAATAAAGGACTGCATGTGTCTTCTTTGGAAACATTTAAACTTAGGTTTTGTTGAAATTACGACAACTCTTTCTCACTCTCACAGCCCACAAGATGGCACTCTTCTTATCTTACCGCCTCACTTCTTACTGTCTGACCTCTGATGCTGACTCCTCTGTGGATCTAGTGCAGGTAGTTTTAACAGTGTTTACAACCCAGTAGACTTTCAAAAAATAATGCAATGTTGTGAGACATGAACTCTGCATTAAATACTTGATTTTTAACATGCATTGGCAGCAGCACAGAGGTCCATGCTCTTCAAAAATCATTTTATACTATATACTATACTATTTGTTTTCATCTGACTTCATTTTAGAGCAACCTTCTTGCTTCCATTTTTGTATTTGTGTTGTTACATCAAATCAGCAATAATCTGTATTTGATGTAGTCCTATATTCTTCCCATGCCCATGCAAATATTGCTGTTATAATATAACAATAAGGTAATAAGACACATGTTGTTATTTCTGTGCGAGTTGAGGGATCAACAAAGACGTCTCCAGGTGGATCTGCACTAAACCAGTTAGCTAAGCGGATTGACATATCACTGCTGGGCTGTGATTCATTTAGACTAAAGGCTATGATGTTTTAAACACCATGTCCTTCCAAGTCAGTATTTACTGTAAGACACTGCCAAGAAAACCTGCAAGCAATTTGCAGCGACTCTTTCAAATGTATTTGGTGTTGTTGAATATTTTAAATTATGATTTCACTGCTTATGCATTTATTTATGCATCAGCAAAAAAAAAACAATTTAAGACAGCCGAACTAGCTTCAACCTCTGCAGTGATTATATTATGGGACTACACATGTAATAAAAGTGTATTACTAGTGCTTGATTTTCAATATTCTTTCAAATCTGCTTTCAAATCTGACTTTCTTATTCTACAAATTATTTGTTCTTCATCTCACATCCCTTTGTTAACTTCTCAACCTGCAAACGTATCTCTCGTATCCCTCTCTGCTGTTCCCGCTAATGCCCTCTTAGTTTTGCACAAGCTTAAACAGTCTTCCCCCTTTCTAATAAACTAATGTAAGGTTTGATCCAGAAACAAGCCTGTAAATCCTGAGCATATCTTACATCTAACTAAGCAATGTGTAACAGCTGTGTCAGATGGCTCGCATCCAATATTTGAAGAATACGCAGAAAATTAGCCAATGAACTCAGATTGAAGCATTCAATGTTACGTATGAATACAATATTATGGATTAAATGATCTGCTCATGAATTAACTCATTCTGAAACTTGAAAACCAACTCTCAGCCCTGTTCTACTCTGAAGACTTCAACTTCCACAGAAACCTTTGTTAAATTTGAAAAATAAAAATTGAAGTTTGTTGATTCCTGAATCTTTTAAAGTGAAAAGGCGTCATTTCTGTCGCTTGGCATCGCCTGCTGTTTGGGACAACAAAGACAACTTGATACATCAAGACCATTCATAATTCCACTTACCAAGCAGTAATAGCTTGACCGTCTTAGCGTCCTTATCAGCATCTTTTTGGAGTTGCTTTTCCAAATCCTTGGACTTTTGGTCCTCGGCGCTTGCTCCTGCACCCATGCTTTCTTCCTCCAGAAACTCAAGATCCTCAAGGATAGAAATTTTGACGGTTACTCTGGAGCTGTCGAGCAGAGAATCAGGTTGCAACACTAATTGTGCTGAAAGGCGATTTTAGAGCGGAAGGATCTTGGGAGGGAGGTGCTTGAGTCCTTCCTAGCTTCGTTGGCCTCTTTCTGTGAGTAGATCAGTACCTTGGCAAGGTTCAAGTAAATTCAGAAGCTCTTGCCAACCGAAATCCACCCTTTAATTCCTTTGGCTTAAACCTCTTACTTAGGAGTTGCCTCTTCCTGATTGGTTAGCCAATCCAATTAGTGTAATAAGGGCAGTAGTGAATTATGTAAAGAAAAGAAGAGAATACTTACATATATTCCTGGGCTCAGTGACAGTCATGGATCTCATTGAATTGTTTGTCTATACACCAAATGCTTGTAGATTATTTTACACTTGATATATAAATACAAAGGAAGTACACTAAATGTTTCTGTTTTTTATAGTACATCAATTGTTTTTCCTGTCATCCTAGATCATAAAGCGTCATCTGCCTGACGATATATGTTCTGTGTATATATATTTTGTATGGTTAAGACATTGTCTATTTGGTTTGCAGTCAGCGTGCATACTTTGCTCTTTTGATCCATACTGTACCTCCTGCTGGACTCTTGACTTCAGTGTCAGCCACATGGACGAAGCAATGAGGCATTAACCTTTCATAAACTTCTTATAGTTAAGACGTTTAAATCCCAGGTGGTGTGGTGATGGCTAAATAAAGCAACTGCAATTGTCACGAAGATGCTTCAGTGAGGTCTCAGCGACATCATGACCTTAATATGTTTCCCGTTCCAACATTATTTAAACTATCTCATATATTTTCATGTTTTCTTCGAGGCAGAGCAGATTTCTTTAAGACAGGAGGTTGGGATGAAGCACATTAAGCGTATGAGCGCTGTGGCATTGATCTGTGGAGGTCAGTGGGGCTGGTGTTCAGGGCTGTCCCCGCTCTGCGTGTTAGAGGAATTACACTGAGACAACGTATCTAAGGTTGTTAATTAGGTAAGAAAACAGAAACTATTGTATAGTTTTCCTGACAAAGTGCATCAGAAACAAAGTGATAAGAGTGTTGCTTAGTTTGGATTGAAAACTTTGGTGTCTCCAGCTTTTTAGTTAAGCTCTGTACGTTATATTTTACCATATAAACTTTGGACGTTGAATTTGGAGGTTTGATCATACCATAAACTCATCTTTTGGTTAATGAATGTTTAAAACTTCCGAAATGGAGAAAGTAGAGGTGATTATTATTGATGTACTGATGCTTTTATGTTGTAAATGTATTATCTTTTAAATAGATACACATGACAACCATTGCACTCTGTCCATACTAGGAGAGGGATCCCTCCTCCGTTGCTCTCCTCGATGTTCCATTTTTTTCCTTGTGTGATGTGAGGGTCTAAGCACAGAGGGTGTCGTCTTCTGTACAAACTGTGAAGCCCCTGAGACAAATGTGTGATATTGGGCTATATTAATAGCCTTTTTTATTATTATATGTCTTTGTTGAACAAGGACCATGCATAAAAATACACTAATCTCATAAAGAGAAGAGATGCTATATGCCAGATTATAGCTAAAAGCTCATTTCCATCTGCATATAAATACATTTGGATTGATTGTGTGATATGAAGGATGTATCTTAAAACATGATGTGCAGAACATTAAATGGGTTTATTGGTTACTGAAATGATCTCTTCCCCTGTTAAGCCCCAAAGACCCCCTCGGCGGGTCTTTTATTTTTCTTTCATCTTAATATTTAAGAACCTATTAATGTGTTATACCAGATTAACGGGAAGAATCTCAGCTAACTGTCAATACAAACCATTTTTACCAAAACAAAACACAAGTCTCATAAAAAGCATCTAAATGACCCCTGAACGAAAAATGCTAACGCACTTTGGCACAGAACTCAAGATAAAGATACCCTTATTACTTATCGCAGCTGCACATACAAGATATCCGATTAAAGCTGAGGTTCCACAGATTATATAGGTATAGTATCATCACTGAGGGATCCGAACTCGCGACAGGGGAAGCAAACACAGACATCACAACACGTACCTTTACGGAGCTTTTACGGGAGATCGTCTCACCGTAGCTGTCAATCTGATCAAAAGACGTGTTCAATGGCATTAAAACGAGAAAAAACGCGGCTGAATCGGTTAATCCATAGGTTGATAATGTGTCTGTAGCTTTGAAAAAATAATTTATAATCCATAATTCCATTTTTATGTAAAAATCAGAGAGCAAAAGTTAGCTGCTAATGGTAGCCACCAGAGTTATCGCAGCTTCCGGTTTTGGCTATGCGTCACTCTCACTCCTTATAGAGTGGCGAAGTCCCTCCCCTTCCGGCAAGATATCAATTCCTCAATTCCGAGTCTTGACCCTATGTTCCCGTTGCAAGGACAAATAATTAATGAAGCAAACATGTCAGAGTTTGTTCCAGTCAGCCATAAAACACTTGAAGACGTTATATTCCATCTAAAAATAACTACATGTAGTCTTGATAGTCTTCCGACAAACTTCTTTAAAAATGTCTATTGCTATATTGCCTCAGATATACTGATTGTGAACATGTCGCTCCATTCAGGTGACTTCCCTAAGGACTTGAAAACTGCAGTTATTAAGCCACTGCTAAAAAAAAAAAGAACACACTCGATACACTGATAATCAGTAATTACAGGCCAATTTCAAATTTACCATTTTTAAGCAAAATAATTGAAAAGGTTGTCTACCTTAAACTTACCAGTTTTTTTGACCTCCAATAACATTTGACACCTTCCAATCTGGTTTTAGGTCTCGTCATAGCACAGAGACGGTTTTATTAAAGATTTTAAATGACATTCATTGTAATACCGACTGTGGGAAATCCACAGTTTTAGTTCTATTAGACCTCAGTGTGGTGTTTGACACCGTAGATCACAACATTTTAACCCAGTCTGGCACTGTCCTAAAATGGTTTACATCCTATGTTGAAAACCGAGAGTATTTTGTGTCAATTGGTCGGACAGAACCAAAATGACTTGTGGAGTTCCCCAGGGGTCGATCCTCGGGCCCCTTCTATTCAATTTGTACATGCTGCCACTTACTCAAATAATTAGAAATAACAACATTTCTTATCATAATTACGCGGATGACACCCAAATCTACATATCACTTTCCATAGATGAATACGGTCCTACTGATTTATTGATCACACGTCTAAAACAAATACATGACTGGATGTGCCGTAATTTCTTACAGCTCAACACAAAAAAACGAAGTAATTGTTTTTGGAACCAAAGAAGAAAGAATTAAAGTCTCTGCACACCTGGAATCACTATTACTCGAACCGAAAAGTCAAGCAAGAAACTTAGGTATAATTTTAGACTCTGACCTCAATTTTAACAGCCACATCAGGGCAATCAACAGATCAGCCTACTACCATCTAAAAAATATCTTGCGTATTAAAGACCTTATGTCCAAGCAAGACCTTGAAAAACGTGTCCATGCATTTGTTTTTAGCAAGCTTGACTACTGCAACAGCATCTTCACAGGCATCACAAAAAAATCACTCCGTAAACTCCAACTAATTCAAAATGCTGCTGCCAGAATCTTAACCCGGACAAAGAAAACAGATCACATCACTCCAGTGCTGAGATCGCTGCATTGGCTTCCAGTTGGTGAGAGAATTGATTTTAAGATTTGAATGCACACATATAAAGCACTAAACGGGCTAGGACCCAAATATATCAAGGACCTCCTTCAGTGGTACGAACCCAGCAGACCCCTTAGGTCTTCAGGCGCAGGCCAGCTCACTGTTCCATTTGTGAGATCAAAGCGTGGGAAAGCAGCCTTCTGCATCTATGCTCCTAATGCATGGAACAAACTCCCAGAACATCTGAGAATGAGCTAGCACTTTAAAATCATTTAAATCAGGTCTAAAAACATTTCTTTTTAATATGGCTTTTCAAATTTAAATGTTCTAATTTTCGAACTGTTAAATATGGTTTTCTTTCTTTTAATGAATTATTTTGTGTGTTTTGTATTTCTTCTCAATGTATTGTGTTTGCTCTGTTTGATCCTGTAAAGCACTTTGAATTGCATTACTGTATGAATTGTGCTATACAAATAAATTGCCTTGCCTTGCCTTCCGGTGGACCTCCATGGGACCTTATTTCGAAAAAATTATGTATTGAAGTCAATGGAGAGAGAAAGATTATCTTTCGATCCCGTTTGAATTGTGCCACGAATTACACATATGATGTTTGTCAATTTAAAAGATAATTTTGCAAGTCAAAAAAATAACATTTGTTTGTGTGAAACGCTCAATGAACTACATCTCTGGTCTCGCAGAACAACACACGTCACCAAGATGGCCGTCACTACTGTCTTGTCAACAAAACGATTGACTACCCTCACTATCACCACAATGAAACACGTCCAGAAGAATGTCCTGCAAAGCTGCCTGCCTGCCTTCCTTTGATTCTCTCTGAACTGCCTGGTCTTTTTAATGTTTAATGTCAACCATTTGTGCAGATAGCATGAAGTAGAAAAGATCGGCGATCGCCGATGCTAGCGTTAGCATTTCTCCCCCGGGCTTAAATTGTGTATTATAGAATGATCACACCAGTGACAGTACTCTTCAAAGGGTTCACAAATTATGACTACTACTCTTACAGTTTAACATTTTGGGTTACTTAATGCTAATAAAAATGACAAGGCTGTAATGCTAACTAACGTGCTAGCTACTAGCTAGGTAGCTAACTTGATCCAGCCACTCCTGGTCCTTTCATCAGACGGGAAGCGAAAGAACGAGCAAGACCCATTGCTGGTATGATAACAACCTGGTACTAAGCACACAGGCATCTTGTTAAAGTTATCTTATCTTAGCCAGCGCCATATAGATAGATTATATCTATATGGCGCTGATCTTAGCTATCTCTTAGTGGAGGAAAACAATTGTGACATCACTTACGCGACTCTGGGATT